GGCAGCTCTGTATTTCATGATTCCCAATTTGATATTCCTTCCACTATAACCCACTACCTCCTTCCTAGCCTGCCAATACTTTGAGGATATAAATACACCCAAAAAGTAATTAATTATCCAAGACCTACCGGTTATCTGAGTTGTAAGGGAGACCAGTACAGGAAGTCCAGAGGAAACAGCCGTGATGTTTACAGTATAGTTGGTGCCTGGGTGCAGTTCCAGGCAAACTTCAGGAGCCTGACTGCCAGTGATTATGTCAAATGACACTTCCTGGTTAAATTCCTTCTGATACCATCGGTGGCCCCATATGTGGAACTGTAACAGAAAAGTTCAAGAGGTAAGATGCTGACAATGATTAAAATTCCTTATGTTTGTGTACTACTTTACAGACTTCTAAGTACTCAGGCCCCAAAACCACCAGGCAAGATCAGGGATTCATCATCTGAATGCCCACATGCACACATACCACTTTTAAGTCTTCCTCAGAAGTTGATAATCAAATCAATATCACCATTATTTGAAGGACATGAAAATCTACTGGCTTGCGGCTCCACTCAGAATCCTCACTCTAGATTGTCCAGGCTAAAACCCCCTCCCCTCATCACCACTCCTCATACCCATCCACATCAGTCCGTTTCCTTCCCTGTCCCTCTCCCACTTTACCTTACCTTTCATTATACTTTCTGGACCTTTCTATTATTAACAAAATGTCCTTCATATCAGAAATGTACCTTCTCCCAGAAATTTGTGTGTATGTATGTATGATATACTATATGTACATATTTGATATATACATATAAATGTGTATGTGTGTATGTTATACACATAAAATTGTATGTTATTTATCTCCTCCCACACACACAATGTAATCACCTTAAGGACAGGGATTGCTTCATTTTCTGTATCTCCAGTACCTGGCACAGTGCCTGCCACATATGGCTGCTTAATAAGGACTTATTTAATTGAATTCCAAGTGCTTTCACAAGAATTATTTCCTTTGATCTTTATAGCAACATTGAGAGAGAGGGATGAGGTGGTACTATTACTACTGTTGCTGCTGCTGCTGCTACTACTATTTCTCCATCCTCTTCTCCTCCTCCTTTTCCTTCTTCTACCTCTTTCTCCTCTTCCTCTTCTTCTTCTTAATATTATTACCAGCATACAGATAAAGAAACTGATACCCTCCCTCCCAAGAGGTTAAGTCACTTCCCCAAAATGTAACACAGGTATCAAGTGGCAGCTCTGTATTTCATGATTCCCAATTTGATATTCCTTCCACTATGACCCACTGCCTCCTTCCTAGCCTGCCCATACTTTGAGGATATAAATACATATACACATACTTACGCATACATGTATATATACAAATGTACGTTCATACATACACATGCATACACATGCATCTCCTCTCATAAGAACTACAGTCAAAATTACAAAGTCACTCAGAGTGTAATATGGGAGAAAGTGTGCTGGATTTAGAGTCATAGGGCTTTGGGTTCAAATCCCAGTTCTGTTCCTTACTACCTTACCTGTACGACTATGGGCAAGTTACTTAACATCTCTAGGCGTCAGTTTCTTCATCTATAAAATGAAGGCACTGGACTAGAATCTTGTCTCTAAGGTCCTTTCTAGTTCTATACCCATGATCCAATAATCATTAGCCACCTAGGTAGCACAGTGGACAGAACACCAGGCCTGGAGGTTATTGATCCTATAATCATTAGGTGATGGTTAGTGGATAGAGCACCAGGCTTAGAGTCAGAAAGATCGGAGTTCAAATCCACACTCAGATGCTTCCTAGCTGTATGACACTAACAAGTCACTTAATTTCTGCCAGCCTCAGTTTCCTCACCTGTAAAATGGAAATAATATAAAATAGAGCTAATGATTGCACTTACCTCCCAGGGTTGTTATAAGGATCAAATGAGAAAATACTTACATAAAACTTTACAAATCTCACAACACAATATAAATGCTAGTTGTTATATATTGAATTATAATAATATATGACAATATAGTATATGGTGTTATTACATGCTATAATTGATATAATGTTAATGTAACTGTTGTGATGATGATAATAATCATGGTCATGATCAGCATGATCATGATGATTATCATCATTCTGTATCTGAAAAAGACAGATCAAGAAAAAACATAGGAGGACCTAAAACAAGATCAACCGAGGGAAGTCCATAGCATCATGGAAACATAAGCACTTCTCTATTTCCCTTCTGTATTCTCATCCTGTGTCTTTTCCTTATCTCCAATCATTGTCTAAATTTATTTTTTAAATTTGTTTTTGAATGTTTTATTGAAAACGTTTAATGACAATCAAAAATCCAACCATTTAAATTTCTAAACAAATTAAAAATACTTGCATGCAAAACCATAAATTCCATTATTTAAAATTTGTCAAAGAAAAAGTATTTATTAATTTTAATAGCATAATAATAAAAATGCTAGCTATTTATTTTATGTTCTCAGTTTTGTTAGCCTATAGCTGTATATAATAGTCATGTGTTAGCCTATAGCTTTCCTTTTGATCTTTCCTTTTGTTATAGTTTGCTCCTTTGTGCTTGCTTTGGTCATAGCAATTTGCTCACTTTCTAATTTCTTTATATGAAAATTTAACCTATTTATTTTATCTTTTATTAATATAAGTATTTAAGAATATAAATTTACTATTGAGTAAAATTTTAAATGAATCCCAAAATACCATAAGTCTATTATTATTGCATTGCAACCCATTAAAGTATTTTTGCCTTTCTGAATTTACTTATAACTTCTTTGTACCCTTGAACATAATCAATTTTTGTACATTTTTCCTCTGTAGTTGAAAAATAGTATATATTACTTTTCCAATCAGTTCTTCTCATGTCTAACAAATCAAGTTTCTTCAGAATGCTATTCCAAATCAGCAATTCCTTTCTTATTTTTAGTGCATAATTAATTATATTCTGGTAGTACAATGTTAAAATCTTCTGTTATTGTTGATTTTATACCTACTTTTTGTGAATTAATTACATTTGCCTTTTAATTATTTTACAGTTGGGTGTGCAAACATTTAATAGTGAAATTCCTTGATGATCAGTACCTTGATGGTACCTTTAATTATGATACAAATTTCTTTGTTTAGATTTTAATTATCTCTAATTTGAATTATGATTTGTTAGATATCATTGTTTCATTCTCCAAGTTTTCTAGGAATAGTCAAAGAATACTAAATTTCAGTCCATCCTGTGGTATTGAAATACATGTACATCTCTTGGCAGTAAAAATGTTCCTGTAGGCAATAGGAACAGAAATTTAATCAATTTAATCATCTTTTATCTTTTAGATTGGAATTCGATCCATAACATTTATGGTTTCTTCAATACTTCAAAGATCTGTGGTTTCATTAGTATGGGAACTCCCTTCATTACTGCATATTATAATACTATGACTTTCATATTTTAATTTAGAGGCTTGCTGTGCATAAAAAATTCATCACCTTATAGTCACCATAGTACTGAATTTAGACAGGCTGGTCTTCACACAACAGACATCACTAGACCTGTATTCTGAAGCTTTCCAGTTTGGTCAGAACTGCCAGACCTTGCACTGTCCTAAATTCTAGTCCACATTATTAACTACCTATTGGATATCTTCTAGATGTCTGCTAGCCAATTGATAACAATCAATTCAAAGTCCAAAAAAGAACTCTCTGTTTTCTGCCTTAGACCTGCCCCTTCCTCTAACCTTTCTTATTTCTGCTGGCACCACCCTAATCCTACGTACCCAGGTTCATAACCTTGGAGTCATCCGTGATGTTTACCTCTCCCTCACTGCCCATAGTCAATAAATTGCCAGGTTATGTTGAATCTACTGTCACAATATCACTTGTCTCTATTTTTTCTCACCAATGACACAGTTAATACCCTAGTTTAGGTCCTCATAAACTTTCATCTTTTGGAAGCCCAAATATTGATAAATTTATATCAATGATCTGTCTTCTGATCACTAATCAAACTCAAAAAAAAATGTAGGCCACTAATCCATAAGTAAGGTTTCTGGTAGGACACATATCAACTTAGTTTTAAAATGTAATGTTATCTATGTTTTGTTTTATTTTCATTTATTTTGTTAAATATTTCCCAATTAGATTTTAATCTGGTTCAGGCTTCACTGTGTGGTCTGCGTGCTTGACACCTGTGCTCCCGATCTATCACTTTTCTCTCCCAAATATTTTCCAGTAGTAACCTTCTGAATTTTTTTTTGTTTATATTGTTCCTTCTACTCATTGTATTCTCTAGTAGAATAATTGTGCTGTTGTTATTGTTGTTCAGTCATTTCAGTCATGTCTGACTCTTCATGACTCCATTTGGGATTTTCTTGGCAAAGATACTGAAATGGTTTGCTATTTCCTTCTCCAGCTCATTTACAGATGAGGAAACTAGGCAAACAGGGTTAAAGGACTTGCCCAGGATCACAAAGTTAGTAAGTATATGAGGTGAGATTTGAACTCATGAGGATGAGTCTTCCTAACTGAAACTCTATCTACTGTGCCACCTAGCAGTTCCAAAATAATTCTGCTTTTCATAAATCCATTTTATACTTTGATGAATATTCCCTTTTAATACTCTTTGTTGATATGCTTTGTTTTTTAATATCACCTACAATTTCCCAACATATCTTTCCCTCACCACCACCCCCAACCCATCTCTCCTAGAGAGGGACCTAACAAAAAAGAAAAAGAAGAGAAAAAAACAATCCAGCAAAACTAACAAATACACTGAAGAAGGCTGTCAGTATATGGTGCTCTGGGTCTGCAAAGGAGAAGGGCTGGTATAAGGTACATTCTTCTATCTCTCCTCTGGGCCAAAACTTGGTCATTTTACTTTCAGAGTATTCAGGTTTAATTGTTTTGTTATGGTTTTTTTCCTTCTCCATTTCCATTGTTGTAGGCATATTATTGTATATTATTTTCTTCTTCTGCCTACTTAACTTGTCATACTTTCATGTAAGTCATAAGTAAGACAGCAAAGTCATGATCCATTACATTCATGCACCACTACTTTTTTAGCCATTTTCCCAATTAATAGGCATCTACTTTGTTTCTAGTTGCTTTTCTGTAGTACTACTACAAAAAAAAATGCTGGTATTAATATTTTTTTATATAGGGTCTTTCTTCCTATCCATGACTTCATTAGGACATATGTCTAATGGTGGATCTCTGGGCCGGAGTGTAAAGACATTTATTTTAATCTCTCTTAGCAAAACTCCAAATTATTTTCCATTGCTGGGTTTCTAACAAGTTGAGTTTCATCATTTCCTGAGAATCCCTAATCATACTCACTTTTTTTATTTCACCTTGTGAATTCTTGCTGGTTCCATTTATTTCTTTGGTTTAATTGCTTTATTGTGTTTATTATTGATTTGTGGGCATCTAGGTGGCACAGCGCATAAAGCGCCAGGTCTGGAGTCAAAAAGACCAGAGTTCAAACCTAGACTCAGACAATTCCGAGCTGTGTGACCCTGAGCAAGTCACTTAATCCTGTTTGCCTCACTCTCCTCATCTGTCAAATGAGTTGGGGAAGGAAATGACAAACCACTCCAGTATCTTTGCCAAGAAAATCCCAAATGGGGTCACCAGGAATTGAACACAACTAAACAACAATAAATTGAATTTGATACATTTTTAAAAGTTCCAGCTTTGTTTCTGGAGCTACTGTTCAAAACAATTTTCTTCTAGCACTTCTACCTCTACCTCTTATAATCCATGTGGTGTGTGTGTGTGTGTGTGTGTGTGTGTGTGTGTGTGTGTGTGTGTGTTTTCTTTTTTTTTTATTGGAGCTCTTCTTTAGTCTGCTCATTTCTTTGGATGGTATTTTAAATTTTCTTTTGAGAATTGTTGGCAGTTTCAATTCCTTGAGTGTTTCTATTCCATTTTTTTTAGAAATATACTGAAGAAACAGGTTTCCTTGCCACTTTATACTCCTACCTCTTCCTAGAAGTCTCTGCCCATCGTTCCAGAGATGAGTCATCTGCCCTTTTCTCCATAAATCCAAGCCACCTCCCTTCACCCTAAATTCCTTAATTAGAAGTAATCATCTCACTGTTCTCACTTCTTGCATCCTCAATACTGACAACTCATCTTTTATACTTTAGACATCTTCAAATAACATTCTCATATCTCTGGGCAACCAGTTCAGTGCTAACCTTGATAGGAGTTACTAGTATTGACTGAAATACTGTTATGAAGAAAGCAACCCACTCAATCCTAACAAACCCCCCCTGCTGCCCCCGCACACACTTTTGGCATTTCTCTATGGAAGCATATGGAAAATATTGAGATTCTCATTTCTTCATGTGATTAATTCAACACTGTCCTCTCACATCCCATTACCTATCAGTAAACTCCAGTGGTTCCCTTTTAGCTCCAGTATCAAATACCAAATCCTCTGTTTGACTTTTAAGCCCTTTATAACCAGGTCGATTCTTACCTTTGCAGCCTTAGTACACTTTACGCCTTTCCACACACTCTGTAAGCCAGTAACACTGGCCTCCTTATGGCTCCTCACATAAGATGCTCCAACTCCCAACATTAAGCATTTTCAGTGGTTATCCCTCATGCTTGGAATTCTCTCCATCACCACCTCCTGGCTTCCCTGGCTTCTACCATGTCTCTACTTCAGCTAAAGTACTATCTTCTACAAGAAGCCATTCCCAATCTCTCTTATTTCTAGTGCTTTCCTTCTGATATTATTGTTATTCAGTCATTTTTTCAGTTGTACTGATTCTTCATAACCCCATTTGGGGTTTTCTTGGCAAAGATCCTGGAGTGGCTTACCATTTCCTTCTCCAGCTCATTTGACAGACTGAGGACAATGAAGCAAACAGGGTTGAGTGACTTGCCCAGGGTCACACAGCTAGTCAGTGAACTCACAAAGAGTAGTCTTCCTGACTCCAGGCCCAGCATTCTATATACTGTGCCACCTCCTGTATATATTTTATTTATACAGAGTAGCTTTCATGTTATATCCCCCATTAGACTGTGAACTCCTTGAGAGCTAGAATTATGTTGTACCTTTCTTTGTATGCCTAGCACTTAACACAGTGCCTGGCACACAAGCACAAAGGGTTTAATAAATGTGTACTGACTTGACTTGAATACTCCAGTACAATGGCTGAAATACAACTCACCAGATATTTCTAAATTTGTTGATATTTTCCAGGCTTTATTTAACTTTGTTAGAAATTCAAACCTCTCACTCAGGACAAACATTTAGATAAACTTTGAACTTACTAAATACATCTCCTCTGAGTCAGCCATCTTCACATTTCTCTTCCACCTCAAGCAGGTTTCATTAAAAATTGAAATGTTACTGATGATTTGATTTACTGAAAGAACAAGAAAAAAAAATGAGGAAGCAATTTATGCTCCACCAAAAAAAAATCCACAACAACACAATTATTCGCAATTTTTAATCAAATAACTTTTCAATTAGTTCTACAGGAACAAATTCAGCTGTAGAGAATGAACTTTTAATTCAATGTGAGCTGTGTCAAGGGAAGAGATGAGCAGTTTGTTTTTTTAATTTTACTTATGTAAGCTCAGCCTCAGTAAACTATATCAGGCTGAAAGCTATCTATTCTGAGGCCCCCTCATCAGTACAAGCTCCCACCAGGCAGAGTAAGTAAAAGTTCTGTCCAAGGCCCCAGACAATTCCTGTGTCTTCAAATGAGAATGGCAGTTGATTACAATTAAGAACAAAAGTATAAACAGGATTAAATTCAATTCAGCAAACACAATACATTCCTGCTAAGGGAAACTGCTGCCAAATACATGCTAACTACAGATTTTCTAGCTCTTGGCATGAACTGTGAGGAACACTTCAAGATGGAAGTTGGGTCTTTCATTTGTCGCAGAGAGGCAGCAGAATATAGTCTTAGGATTTTAGAGTCTTAGAGTCAAGAAGACCAGACTCAAGTCTAGCCTTTGATACATACTGGCTGTGTAATCCTTTGCTGTTTGTTGTTCAGTTGTGTCCAAGTCTTCATGACCCCATGGACACCAGGCCCTTCTGTCCTGCACTATCTCCTGAAGTCTGTCCAAGTTCATGTTCATTGTTTCCATGATACTATCTATCTATCTCATCCTCTGCCATCTCCTTTTCCTTTTGCCTTCAATCTTTCTCAATGTCAGAGTATTTTTCAACGAGTCCCATCTTCTCATTACATGTCCAAAGTATTTAAGCTTCAGTTTCAATAACTGACCTTCCAGTGAAGAGCCTGAATTAATTTAAGTATTGAAGGCATTTAACTTCTCATGACCCCAGGAACCTCTCTTACACTATAAATCCAAGAATAATTGCTAATCTACACTGGTAGAGGGAGTTTCTAGATAGGAATTCTTTATCTGGAGGCGGCCTTCTAGGTCCTTGGGTGAAGCCTTTTGACTGAGTCCAAATTTTACGGAACAAATCTTTTTATTAATTTGTTCTGTGAAATTTGGATTCAGTCAAAGGGCCACACTTGAGAACCTAGAAGGCCACATCCAGGCAAATGTGCTCACTGCTCCCAGGATAGTCTTTCAATGACCAATCAACCAACATCAGTCTTAAAGCTGGATCCTGACATTTCAAACAATGCTACTTCTCAAATTCACAGATACCGATCACCCCTTGTACCTCTGAAGTATATCCATTCTCCCTTTCTCCTTCAGTTCCATAGCACCTGGATTCAAATTCACCACAGACAACAGCTGTGGGATTCTAGGAAAGTCATAATCTATGTGAGCTTCAGTTTTCCTCATCTTTAAAATGCAGGTAATTATTGTACCCAGGGCAGCTGGGTGGCTTAGTGGATAGAGTGCTGGGCCTGGAGTCAGGAAGACTCACCTACCTGAGTTCAAATCTTATCTCAGACACTTGCTAGTTGTGTGACTGAGTAAGTCACTTCTGTATGCCTCAGTTTCCTTACCTGCAAAATGAGCTAAAGAAGGAAATGGCAAACCACTCCAGTATCTTTGCCAAGAAAATCCAAAATGATGTCACGAAGAGTTGGACACTACTGAAAAGCGACTGAACAAAACATGAGGTAAATTGTTGTTAGCCACAAAGGCATGTTAAAGGGGAGATGTGGCTAAGCAGGAAGAAGTCAATGACCTTGGACTTAGTTTTGTTCCTATACCTTTCTCCCCTCCCAGTCATTTCCAAGGGAGACATATATAGTCCTCAAACCCAGAAAACCTATGTCAATTTCCAAGAAGAGTGGCCTCTAAACTTATGTTAAATGGGTTCAGTTTTGCAATCAGGAATCAAGCAGGGAACCACAAACAGCAGCTACACAAGGGAAGCAGGTGGCAACACTTAGCAGAGTCTAGAAGCTATGTCAACTACATATCTGGCAGAGACTATATGACTGAAAGAGATCAGATGCTGATTTTATACATATATGTCTGACAGAGATGACATACCCAGAGACCTTCTATAACATGAATCCACTGAGAACCAAGCCTAGCAGGACCAATGTGATGACAGTACCTGAAAATATAAGCCTGGCAGTATCAGAAGCATGCACTGTACCTCTCTACATGTTGTACCTCCACACTGGTCATATATACTCACTAAATCTTCCTACATATGCACAGTTCCCTAATTGCATGCCCACTCTTCTTTCTATTGATGTTGTGTTTACAGGATAAGGTACACTAGTTGTATGGGTTATATTATTTCTGCTTTTCTTAAAAAGCTATTTCACTAAATAGCTTTGTTTTGAAGTAACTAGCGTGATCTACCAACATAATCATTACTTTAGAGGGCAGACACCAACTCCAACAATCCGCCAAATATCCTGAATTTTGCACAAAATTTGGAAATTTTTTTTTTATACTTTGTTCAAAAAAGTTAAAAAGATATCTTTTCCATTCCTAGAGGTAGCCAAGTGGTGCAGTAGATAGAGTGCTAGGCTAAGAACCAAAAAGACCTGATTTCAAATCCAGCCTTAGATATTTACTAGCTAAGTGACCCTGGGCAAGTCATTTAATTCCTCTCATCTTCAGTTTCCTCATCTGTAAAATGGGGATAATTATAGCACCTACCTCCCAAGGTCATTGAGATGATCGAATGAGATACTATTTGTAAAGTGCCTAGTAGGTGCACAGTAAGCAGTTAATAAATGCTTATTTTTCTTCCTCCCTTCTATTCCAATGACATCACCTAGCCTCTTAAATCCACTTCTCCTTCCCATCCCCAATCCCATTCCCATTTAATCTATAATATGTGTCACTAACAGGTTAGCCTCTTTATGACCCTATTTGGGGTTTTCTTGGCAGAGATACTGGAGTGGTTTGCCATTTCCTTCTCCATCTCATTTTATACATGAGGAAACTGAGGCAAACAGGGTTAAAAGTGACTTGCCCAGGGTCACACAGCTAGTAAGCATTTGAGGGAGTATTTGAACCCAGGTCCTACTGACTCCAGGCCCAGCACTCTATCCACAGCACCACTGAGCTACACATATAAATGTTAACTAGCTATTATTATTCATTCCCCAAGACTGAGATCAAAATGCCACATTCTCAAAGCTATTTTCTCTGATCATCTCAGTTAACCTTTCACTTTATTTCTCTCAAATTTTGTACCAATTCTAGGACATCATAACTTCTGCCTAGGACTACCCAAAGGAATGTAAAACCTTACAAGCTATCTTGGGGTTTATGGGTTAGATTTCTTTCTTAAGGACCATGCCTTAAACCCAAATCATTTTGACTCTCAGAGAATAGCCAAAAGTAAGGTCCCAGCCCAAGCCTCTCTCCTTCATTGTTTGGGCCCAGATGGCTCAGAGTGTGTGTAAATAGAAATTGTTTCTATTTTGGCCAGAAACCCTGAGGGTCTTCCCTTCCCAGATTGATTTTTTTTTTGACCAGATAAAAGAAGCCATTCTTTGCCTCATTTCTTTCCTAATCTTAATTACTAAATGGGCCTTGACTCCATCAAACTGATACCTGGGAAAGACCTTAACTTTAAAACGCCAAGGTCTCCCACTGCATCCAGGGCCATCGATCTATATCTTGCCACTGGACCCAGCTAGCTCCAGAGGAGAGAGTGAGGCTGCTAACTTTGCACAGCCCTTCCTCATCTAAATCCAATTCACTTGCAAGTCATGGCATCACCTTCCTGATGACATGATCCTCTTTGAGAAAGAAGGACAAACAACAACAACAATGGCATACTAGTATACATGTCACCTCCCTTCTGTGTTCTGGGTCAGAACTGTGCAATATTCAACTTTGTGCTACCTGTAACAATAGCCTGTATACAGTAAGCATCATAAATGAACAAATGAGCCAATGCAAAGCTAACAACAGATTGCCCTATACTCTACTAATATGATATTTTACATAAAACTGGAACCCACTAATAAAGATGTGGGTTCGATGTTTAAAAGCTAAATGACCTTTTGTTCTTGACTTCTTTACTTCTGCTATTCAAACATGACTGAAGCCACTTGGCCAGGATGGCATTGATAGATTGTTTCTTCCCCTCCCCACCCCCACCCCCACCCAGCAACAGCATTGCCAAAGTAATTTCCAACACTGAAGCAATGAGGAAAGGCCTGGTGTTTAAACTTGTTCTGTTCTTGTTCTGCAATGTTCAGAATGTTTCAAAAATTCATTAGGGAACAGTTTGGGTCCCTTTATGGGGGGGAAAAAGCAACTTCATAAGAAGCAAGCTTCAAACCTGCCTCTGAAAGCAGACGGGGGTTATATAATACTGAGTTTATTTAAACAATTTTTCCCATGTTAATTACTCATCAGAGAGAAGATGAGATCCCTCAAGAGTGAGAGGCTTGGTAAACTGAATTTCAGAACTGGAAGGAGGAAATGAATGAGCAGAAATCAGAAGGATTCTTGACAAAGGGGTTATCCCAAAGGTGAAATTTGGTTATAGAACTATAAGGACACAGGATTTAGAAATGTAAGGAAGAAAGGAAACAAACATTTATAAAGGACCTATTACATTCTAGGCACTATGCTAAGCACTTTACAAATATTATCTCACAGTACTTGAGCTCGATACTTCAAGTATCAAGCTCAAGAGTTGTAACTAGTGGTTCTGGCAGCAAGACAAGCACTATAAAATGTGGCCTGAGCAAGCAGCATGAAAGCAATCTGAAATCAATTTAAGAAGAATTTTGTTATTTGGGATAGATGGAGGAAGAGACCTTGGACCTTGGGATGCAAGACCCCACAGTGAAGAGACAGAGACAAGAACATTACATCCTGTTGATGGAAACTATTTTAACTTTTTTTTTCTTTTTGAAATTGTTATCTGTAATAAAAAAAAATCTAAGTTGATAGTTAATCTTGCAAATTGATTTCAAAACATCCTTGGATG